CTTTTTTGTTTGGATTTATTGAGATGTGTAAACAAATTGCCCTACTTCCATAGAATGGACCAGGGGTCCTCAAACTTTTTAAATGGGGGGCCAGTTCACTGTCCCTCAGACCCGTGGGAGGGCCGGACTATAGTTAAAAAAAAAAACTATGAACAAATTCATATACACACTGCACATATCATATTTTGAATTAACAAAACAAACTAGGCAAAAACACCTGGTGGGCCGGATAAATGTCCTCAGCGGGCCGCATGTGGCCCGCAGGCCATAGTTTGAGGACGCCTGGAATGGACTGTCCTTCAGCAGGAAACATGATTAAGCTAAATTTGATGGAAATTCAAAGATTTTATGCCGAGTGAAAGATGCTAATTTTGTCACGTTATGTGTTATGTCATTTTATTAATATTAGATCCTAGCACGACAAAACTATATGATGAAAATAGATCAATGCTTGGCGGACGCTGAGTAAAGATTTGACTCCCCTGGAAGATCATGCAGGACTAGTGTCTGGCGATGGTGATGCTGCTTCCACAGATACACACTGCCATTGCTACGAGCTGCCCCCGAGCTTGGACAGGGCAGCTCCATGCACCAAGTACAGAAACGCGCCTGGTCCTGCCCGACTCTCCGACTGCTTGCAGATCTCCCAGGCTCCATTGCAAGCCATAGAGCTTTCCTTGGCTGACTTTTGGAAGAAGATTGGCAAACCTTTCTTCATAGCCTCTCATAGTCTGCACACCCCACAGAAAGCTCTTCGGCATCATAGCATTGCACAAGCCTCCTCGGACAGACACGAGGCAGCTGTGCATGAGGTGCCTTGCTCAGGAGTCAAACCTGGGCGTCTTACCTGGAAGGCACCAGTTCTACCATTGAAGCATTAATGATACACGTGTGTGAACATATGTGGCACTGTGAACACGTTCAGTTTTACGCTGAGTTCATTTCCAAAATGAAGAATCAAAACACCAAGTTATGATTATGTTTATGGAGACCATTAAAAGCATCCCATGAGAAGGGTGTAGTAGGAACCCCTGATGAGAGAAAAATGAATTGCAGTGCTTTTATTGAAAAGATAACTCACGGATCTAGTTACTAGATCTGGCACGAGGGGGGCACCGTGCAACTTCCACCAGGGGCTAATGCTCTCGGCTCCATGCAAGAGCGTGGAGGCTATGCAAAGTTATGTGTCCCCCAGCAGCTGTAACGCCGTCCTCCTGTCCTCCCATGCATAAGTAGCATTTCTGCGGTTCTTTATGGTGAACACTTACCTATCGTCATGTGTATGTATGGTGTGTGACAGTTATGGTGGCTGTGGGAGCCATAACTTTAAGTTCTGTGGCTTTTCTGTGAGTAAAACCAGCCATAATGTTGAATTAATGTAATTCTTACTATTTAATTTCCCTGTTGTGTTAAGTGGAAGGCTTTTCCCACATTTGCATTAGAGCGTGGTGTTCCTTTTGGGTAGTCTATAGTAAGTGCTGGTGGTTCTGTGAGCTAACGTTGTCAGTTGGCACCTAACGGACATCCAGACGTGCAGTGGGGCTGACGTGGGAGAATGGATGGGGTGTGTCCCGTCTGAGGGTGACAGCTCTGTCTTCAACTCTTCTGCCTGCCACTTAATGGTTCTAGAGCACATAGAAATTCTATTCCGGGTGCAGGTCAAACCAGAACATGGAACCCACTGCCAGCGAGTCGCTGCCTCTTTCTTCACTGTGACCCTGCATAAGGCGTTGGGGCTGTAGATTGTTGTGGGAGCAGCGAGCCTCATCCCTCTTCCGCAGAGTGACTGGTGGGTTTACACGGGAGGATTGGCTGACCTTCAGTTAGCTGCCAGCCCCACGCCATCGGTGCTGCCAGTGCAGCTAGTTGTGTGGACTTGGCCTTCAAACAGGACTGGTTAAGTGGCACGCCCATTCAGGTCATCACACCAGAGACCCTAATTGGGGGCTTGTCAGTCCAAGTTCACAGGCAGAGACAGTTTCCGTGGGCTCTCTGCTGGGGTGGCCAGGCGTGCCTTCCTTGTAGATCAATCAGGAGAGAAAGTGACTGAACTTACAGGCCATGACTGTGTGCAGCTGACAACATGTCAAGGCAGGGCAGAACCGATGTGCATTTAGATAATGAATAATGGTGGTTATGAAGCCGTCTTCAGGCCATCTTGATCTTGTCCCAGTCCCTGGATCTCCTTTAACACACAAGGTGAGACCTGGGGGCCAGTGAGGGAGGGGCCTTCAGAGAGGATGTGCCGCCTTCTTTCTTGGGCTCTTAGGCCACGCCCCCAGGGGGAGAGTTAGGTTTCTTTCTGATTGGGCCTGGTGGCCCTTCCAGTGGCTGGGACCATAGTATCCGATCTATCCGGGCTGCTCAAGAATGGTGGAAGTGGCTCTCCTCTGTGTGAATCAATCTGAATGCAATGGGGTGTATTCATCCTTAAGGGACATTAGATGTGCAGTCTTAGGAAAGGAGAGAATGAAAGAAAAACAAGTAGGAAGAATTGCGGGGGGGTGGGGGTGGGGGGGTGCTCTTCCTTTCAACTGTGGTCCTGAGAGGCCCAGGGCTACTCGTGACCCTTTCTTTCTGTCCATTTGCAGCCCTTCCTGGGGCCACGGCATACAGTAACAGAACCCAACCCAGCTCACGGCCGCCGAGTCAGGGCTGGCTCAGAGTGACCCCCTGTGGGTTTCTGAGACTGTGACTGTTGAGAAGAGGAGAGAGCCCAGTCTTTCTCCCGTGGAGCTGCTCCTGGTTTCGAACTGCTGACCATGCGGATTACAGCCCAATGCATGACCACTATACCCCCGGGGCTCATTAAAGGTCCTGTACTCCTGGTAATCCCACGCTATTCCTCCTGGATCCCGAAACGTGGACCTTCTGCCCTGGAAGGGAGGCTCTGTGGTTCTCTGAAGCTCTGCTTCAGCATCGAAGAAGGAAGCCTAACCTCTTGCATGCCGAGAGAGCTTGTCTGAATGTTGCCCCCAGAGCAGTGGCTGCTGAGTTGATTCTGAAGCATGCGCTGCGTCCAAGCAGAGCTGTGCCCACGGGGCTCTGAATGACTGGGTTTCCCAAAGCTGGTTGCCAGACTTTTCTTTCATGCCACCTCTGAGTGCATGTTGGCGCTCCAACCCTTTGGTTAATAGCACGTGTGCTAACCATTTGCACCACGCTGGGTGCCTTCTTTCTCTGTCTACCAATTCCTGCTTTCGGGTGGGAAGAAGCATGTCCCCATGTCGTGTCTCTGCCCCACCCCCGCTGGTTCATGGTGATTTGAGCAAGCTGCGTAGGTCAGCTTCCAGTCCCCAAGTCCCCCCATTACCTTGGAGTTATCTAGTTTTCTTGGGAGAAAATCACTTGTTTTTCATCTAAGCATCAACCTTGTGTATGGCAAGCAGCCTTCTTCACTTGCAGTCTAAGGACCTTCATTAAATGCCTGATCTACTCTGCACTTTTTTTTGGTACAGATAACACCTCCCACAGTTAAGAAGGCTTCCTCCTGTTGTTCTATGAAACAGCTGACTGGGCATCGGAGGCATTTATGAACTAGGAGCCCAGGCACTTGTATTTCTGAGGGCATGTGCCCAGCATGGACATTTCTTCATGTTTGGGGTTGGGTAAAGCTTTCTTGGTTGATGATTGCGCAGTTGCTAGTTCCGTGAAGGTACAGTTGGAAGGTCTTCCAGATCCTATTTTGAAATGTTTCCTATTTGACTGGCATGCGTTCCTGAGTCACCAGGTTTGCTGTGGTGATCGCGGGCCCACACGGGGCGGGGCCTCGCAGGGTGGCCCTGCTGCTCTACTTGTTTTACTGAGAGCAAAGCTACTTCTCAGGTAAACACCCCCATGGACTGGGGGTGCCTGTGCAGCCCAGTGGGCGGATGGAATCAGCTTCCAAGATCAGCTCCTGTTGCCACACAGCAGGGAGGCAGCGCACTCAGCTGATGTTGCCTGGTCAATGTCAGATTCCCAAAGTTAAATGCTGGGTAGCCTCAGCCCCTTGCTGTTTGCTTTCTTGGATCCCCACCTTGTGTTCTGGAGAAAAAGCTCAAGAATCCTGTAGCCAATCAATGAATGGAGGGGAGTGCCCACCTCCTTCCAGCTGGTTAGTTTGTTGCTCTGTGGCAGCTTGCATATCCCTCTGAGGGATTAGCCCACCCCCCAAATTTAAATACTAGCAGTGCCACACACCTGGGACGGGTTTCAGCAGACCTCCCGGGGCTAGACAGATTGGGAGAAAAAGTTCTGGTAGTGAATCTGTTTCTGGAAATTAGCCAGTGAAACCCTTATGGCTCACAGCAGAATGTATGGGATACTGTGCTAGAAAATGAGATCTTTCGCTGGAAAGACACTTACACACACACACACAGTGGCTGCATCCGAGAACTCAAACACAGCAGCGGCTGTAGAGATGGCACAGAGCAGAGCCGGGGTTCGTTCTGTAGTACATGGGTTGCAGTGATTCAAAAGCATCTCAACAGCAATGAGCAACAAGGGTGCCCCCTCCCCCCCACCCCCGTTGGCTTATTGCTTATCTGAACCTTAGTATTAACAGACTAGGTTACATCTGATTCCTATTAAAGCTCCGCGGACAGAAATGGAAACCCTTTGGGGTTTGATCTTCCATTGACGTTTTGCTGTGAATTGGGTGAAGGGTTACAGAGCAGGCCAGTTTTCCAGTCAGCGATTCATACCCAGTTTGTTTCATCTCCTTGATTGCAAGCCACTCCATGTAACTTCACTTGTCCCACTTCCTCTGTTTCCTATTTCCAGTCCCCCTTCTCTCCAAACCCTTCTACTCCCAAATAGTTAATGATTCTTAGGTCCACTTAACTCCCTGATGTTACTGATTCCCTTAGAGACCTGGCTTCCAATGTTTTTTTTAAAAATCATTTGATTGGTGGCTCATACAATTCTTATCACAGTCCATCCACCCATCTATTGTGTCAAGCACATATGTATCCTATGCTTTTCTATGCAGACCTTTGAATCTTTCTTTTCATTTACAGAACTTATGTGCAAGTGGTGATCTGAATGCTTCCTTCACATCCCAACATTTTGAAGACCAGTCTGTAAGTGAGATTCCTCAATGGCAAACACTAACGGGAAGATTGTAAATATTCCCCTCTCAGTGTTTGGATATGCACCCCTATACCTCCTCTCTCCAAGGGAGCTGCACTGTATCCACCCATCATAAACAGGCTTTGCAAATGAGAGCTGGGGAAGATGAATTCAGCGCCTATTGATTTTTTAGACAGGGATAGATTCTTCTAAAAAATGAAATTGAGTGAAAGAGTAAAGGAGACAAAACCATTTTGAAGTGCTTTAAAACACAAGCAGGGAGAATTTCAAAAGAAAGCAGTCAAGGGTAACTTAGCCATCGATTAATTGAATGTCAAATAAGTGAATGATAAATTATTTTACTTTTTCTTTCCCTCTGAGGAAAGGTGAAAATTTGAACAGGTTTGAAATTGCACTGAATTTATTTTTTAGTTACTCAGAGATAGGCTTGAATTTGATATTATAGCTCGTAGGAGTTAATGAATTCCTAAAGGGGGTAGTGAGCTAAATTGGGAGAGATGAGAGAGACCAGGATGGTATAGATGGGAGATATGAACCCGGGAGATACTGAAAAGGAATATGGGAAAGCTGGGGGGCACTGGATGATGGCAATTGTGATCTCCGGGGCCCCAGAGGAGTGGGTGAACAGGGCTCAGTGGGTGATCAGCTGAGTGCTTATGAAGGGAAATGTCTTTATTACATGTAGAGGCCTACAAGAACATGACCATTGGGAGAATTTTCACATTCTGTGCTTGTTCACCCCAAAGAAGGACCTCTGTGTGCTGCGTCCTGTCTTGTAGCCCCGCCTGCGTCCTATCCTAAAGGCTCAAGCATCCTGCAGCCAGGAAAGGTGTTTACGAGTGCGTCAGAGGTTGCCCTAACCACCTATCTGCTTCTTCGTGGAAAGCTAATCTTGAAATGATATGATCAGGATTGCCCTGGCATGTTAATAACCAAGTTATCAAAGTGGATGGGAGTAGGCAAGGACCCTTGAAGATTTGCCCTCCGCTTGACTTTCCCCACCCCTTAAATTAAGTGGGATTTAAATGATCTCGGTCTGGCCTAATAACTACCGACGTCTCTGGCTCTTCACTCTGGACAGATCCTCAGAGAATCCGGCGATGGCTTGAGTAACCTCCCCAGCCCTTTTGCATACCTGCTCACCATCCATCTGAAGGAGGGCCGCAACCTTGTCATCCGAGATCGCTGTGGTAAGCACTGTGTCTTTCCCACTCACCTGGAAACCTCCTTATTGCCCCTACGGTTGTATTGTCGTTGTTAGTCCACTCCTCCCCTCAGTCGGACGTATTGAAGTCCAGAGCTCAAATCTAACCCTCTTCAGGTATCAAAGAACTTGCAGCAAATGATTTAAATATACTGGGCCATACTGTCTCCTTTCTATTTTAAAATGAATAATACTGATAATCACATAGAGTTGTTCTAGAATGAACTAAGACTACCTGTAGACATTGGACTGCTAGCGGCAAGGTCAAACCACCCAGCAGCTCCTTGGGAGAAAGATGCATCCATCTGTCCCCATCAACATTTCCAGTCTCAGCAACCCCGTGCAAGGCTGCTGTGAGATGGAATCAACTCATTGACTTTGAGTTTGGTTTGATTTTAGTTCTAGGATATGGTATGGTATCTATCTCTGTCTCTTTCTCTATAGCTAATCTGTTCCCTCCTACTTTCTCAGCCTTAACAACGACACTGCAATGGATGTCTTTGTGCATACTTCTGTGCTAAGATGAGAAGATAGCTGAGATAAAAATTGCATGTGTTTACGATTGAGCTGTGGAGACAGACTATTTTGTTCCGATCTTGACTTCTCCACTCAGTGCTGGCCATTGTCTGACAACCAAGGGAAAAGGTATCCCTGACACATTGGCTTCATATACTACGCATTACTCTACTTCCATGTCTGCAGTAGGCATACTTCACCTGCTCTGTACCCTCCCACTCGCAGCTTCCCTCCTCCCTGACCCACCAACTGTGGGTTCCTCCATCTGTCTGATCTCACCTGTCCTCCGTATCCCAAGATGAAACGAAATATGCCCATTGGTTTGTTTCTCTCTCTTTTCTTCTGAATGTTTTCTTCTCATTTTCTTAATGCTATCTCATTTTCATCTTAATGCATTTTCAAATGGTGAAAACTGTCATGCTCTGCTTGTTGATACATAGCATTTTCTAGCAAATGCATATGTTATTATCTATCAGTGTGCACTTTCTTGGGCCTGCCAATTTTGGTAAACTTACTAATCATAATAGATCATTATTTCGTGCTATTTTTAATTGGTTGGGGAAGATAGAGCAGGTAGGCAAATTTGCATATATGCTTGGTCTTCCATCCTGATCCAAATTTCAGTGAGCATTTCCTCATCATAAATCATCCTTGCATCTAATTTCATAATAAAACCTAGATGTACCTATATCTCAGAAACTTAAAAAACAAACAAACAACAATCCCTGAAACCTTGCCATTAGATAATGCGTAGGTTTCGCTGGCTGCTTTATCAAAATATCACAAAGAGAGTGGCTTTAAACAACAACATCTTTCTGTCTCGCAGTTCAGAGACTGGTCGTCTTAGACTAGGATGTCAGCTCTGTGGATGACTTCTGAGGCTCTGAAGGTGGATGTGGTCCATGCTTCCCTCTACCAGGCTTTCTTTGGTGTATGGCTGCCACATCCTTCAGTGCCCCTCTCCTGTCTCTCTGTCTCTGTGTGTACTCTCTTATTTGATAAGCACCCCAGTCCTAGAGGATACGATCCTTTAACTTCTTGTGAACTTAACTGATACCAGATTGAAGACTCTTGTTTCCAAATGGGAACTCAGTCACAGGAAAAGGGATTTGGACTTCAATGTATCCTTTTGAGGGACACAAACATGTACATTGTTACAGGCAGATTTCCTAAATAGTGACTGTTCGCTGCTTTCTTTTTGTAAGTAGCTAATGAGGTCTCTTTACGTTTATGTAATGTCATTTGGAGAGTCAAAAGATGGGGCTTTTTACTCCCTCAAAGAATGGCAATTCCTTGGGGGAGGGAGAAGGACTGGGGAGCTAATAGCAAGGAGTACAAGAAAGAAGAAAATGTTCTAAAATTGATTGTGCCCACGATAGTACAATTCTTCGTGATGTGATTGAACTATTGAATCGCATGATGTTTGGAGGACGTCCCAATGAAACTGTTTAATAAAAACAAAACCAAAAAGTGACCGTCTCAGAAACTCACAGGGGCAGGTCTGCCCTGTCCTATAGGGTTGCTATGCGTCAGCATCGACTGGATGGCAGTGTGTGTGTGTGTGTGTGTGTGTGTGTGTATATAGGCTTTTAAAAAAGTGTTCTACATAGTGTATATTTCAGTTTTCTAGGAAGGATGTGTTTTCAAATCCTTAAAAGTCTGCATTGCGCTTCAGATGCTTGTCATTTTCCTGACAGCAGGTACCTGTGGCGGTACACACAATACCTGGATACCTCATGCCCACTGCTTCCTTGCCAGCTTCTCCCACCTTTTCTGGTTTCTTGTCCATTATTTTTGTTTGAGTGCCCTTTTCTCCCTTATATATGCCACACTCTTAGAATGGCAACGGATTTCTGTGTGATTGTCAGTAGATTTGATTTGAGGATGAAGAATTGTGGGCATGATCTAATGTGTTGCAGAACAGGGTTTGTATGCACTTAGTCCACACGTTTTTGCTTAGGGCTGAAGAAGTTCCTCCAGCCTGTGTTCCACCTCAGCAGTCACCATCCCTAAGTCCCAAGTTTCATTCAAGTGAAATTAGGCTGTACGGAAATTAGGCTTGTGTCTTGTACTAGCTTGTTATACTCCAAATACGAATGGCTAATCTAGGTCCTAAACGGTTGTTTACGCACTCATTTCTTTCAGGACTGATAGAGATTGTGCCTATCTGTGGTTTTGTTTGTTTGTTTTTAATTTTAGATTAATCAATAGCTTCTAAGAAAATCGTACATTCCTAGCAAGTTCTTTTTCTACACATTGTGTTTGCTGCGTGCCTTCCTGTCAAGGGACTCTGTTGATTTAGTTCATGATCAGGGCATCTGCAGGAGCCTACTCCAGGCAAGTCAGCATTTGAGTCTCCACTGTGGGTCGAAGCAGCGATCGTGATTCCTGGCGCATATGCTACCATACCTGCCTTCTTAGTGGGCTGTGCTGTTTGCTGGGGATCCCCACCCAGTGTCATTCGTTTTTCTCCAGCACGGTCCTTCGAACCAATCAAAAGTTCTCCAGCTTAAGAGAGCACCAGGATAATCCGGCAGGCTTCTTGCAGCAGCGCTTCAGGTCCCCAAGTTGCACTTCCAGGTGGAGCTGATGCTGATGTTGCCAGTCCAGTTACCATATTTTGGGGACTGAGTTTATTGTGCCAACTTTGCTGATAAACACAGGTGGGGTTAATTGAGGGGCAGAGGGATAAATGGTTCGGTGAGCCTCGCCTTTCTACTTCTTGGGTCTCTTGCTTCCTGATGGTCGGACTAAGGTGCAGCTGCCTTAGCCAGTTCCCTGCTTCAGCTGGCAAGGCTCACTTCCTGCAAGACATCCCCAATGAGAAGCCGCATGGACCTACCCCCATGCAGCCCTGGGTGCTGGTGCAGCTGTGTGGAGACCCTGCCAGCACTGAGATGCTTACACATTCACTGATTCAGCTTTCCTCCTGTAGTCAGCATCATTGTGTCTGTTTTGTGAGATGGAGGAGGACTTTGTGGACTGGTGTTGGACATATGGGTTAATGGGTTAATGTTGAACTTGTGAGCTTGGGCACCACTGGGTTGGGATGTTTTCTTGATTCGCACTTAACCTTTATAGAAAACTTTCTTTTATACATGAGTTTCTGTGGATTTGTTTCTCTAAAGCATCCAGACTAACACAGGGACCGTTGTGGGTGCTGACACAGGAAGAGGAATGCGATTCTCCTGGGGGACAGAGCATTTTCTCTCGATTACCCACACCCATTTATTGTCTGGGGCTTTCCTTCGCTGTCCAGCTGCTCGTCATCTTTGGTCTTACACTTAACTGTATTCTCTGAACATAATTCAGTATGGTTTTACCTAGTTAACAATGGCACAGAAAACTGTGTGACCTGCCATAGCAATACATAGTAAAGGACTTAGCAGTTATCCATGGATTTCCAATATTCATTCTTTAATAGGCTTCCAATTACATGGCTAAAAGGTTGATAACTCATTGTTGTAGTCAGAAAAAAAATTAGAGACATTAAGAAAAACAAACCTCTCTTTTCAATGGGCAGTGAAGTAAATGTGCCGTCTCCCCTCTCAGGAAGTGCATGCAGTTCCAGCAATCCTGAGGGAAGAACATTAAAATGAGCTATGGAGGTATTGCTTGAGGACTAGAATCTTTCCACCATGTGGTCCATCTGGGAAGCTGAGGAGAAGCCACTCCGAACGCCACACTAAGCTGCTCTGCTAGGGTGCCATCAGTCAGGGGCTAGAAAGCGAACTTCGCTGGTGGGAAGGAGTGCAGGACTTTTGTCTTGTGTAAATCCTCTGCTTGTCTGGTCCCCGCAGAGCCCTCGCGGTTCAGTAGTTTGTTAAAATCAGTTTGTTGATAGTTTCTGGGTTTGGGGGTTAAATTTGGGAAACCACTAGGTTGTTGGAGAGAATCAGGAGGGAGCTTCTACATCAGAACAATGGCTAGGTTGAGGAATGGTGTCAGGAAAGGAGGCATGCACAGGGAACTTCAAAAAGTTCATGGGAAATGGAAAGGAAAAGATAGTGGTGTTTTCTCGCACACTTCTGACACCCTTTCGGGTTTCTTGATTGCATTCAGAGCAGCTTGATGTTGCCCTGCTGTAGCTTTACAGGGTGTGCATATGTTTTCCTCTGAATACACACAGAGACACCTTGTAGCGATTATTAGTTGCCACCAGTCATGGGAAGGCAGACCAGGAGACCTGGCTTCTGAGGCGCTTCTGGGTGGGCTCAGACTACTAACACTTGAATAGTAGCTGAGTACTTTGGAATTTTGCAAGAACTGGGACCAACATTAGAAATCATTAAAAAAAGAAAGCAGTGGGTGACCGCCCATCACAGACAAGGCTATACGTTCAGGAGCAGTACAGGGAGGTTTTCACTGGGCAGCGTGGTAAATATAGTCTCGCTGAGAAGAGTTCTCTTTACAGGTCATTTTGCTGTTCCTTGCAGAACCTCCTTTGAATCGCTGACATGTATCCTTGTC